CTTTAATCCTAGCACTTGGGGAAGCCAAGATGGGCAGATCACCTGAGATCAGGAGTTTGAGACCAGCCTGGCCAATATGGTGAAACCCTGTCTCTACTGAAAATACAAAAATTAGCCGATGTGGTGGCACACACCTGTAGTCCCAGCTACTTGGGAGTCTGAGGCAGGAGAATCACTTGAACCCAGGAGGCAGAGGTTGCAGTGAGCTGAGATTGTGCCATGGCACTCCAGCCTGAGTGGCAGAGTGAGACTTTATCTCAAAAAAGAAAGAAAGAAAGAGAGAGAGAGAGAGGAGAGAGAGAGGAGAGAGAGAGGAGAGAGAGAGAGAGAGGAAGGAAGGAGTAAGAGAGAGAGAGAGAGAAGGAAGGAAGAAAAAGAAAGAAAGAGAGAGAAATATCTCAAGAGTATCTGTGCTCTGTCAACTGTGACATGAGAAATGAAATCAGAGAGGGTGACATGAGAGCAGGGTCAGGAATAGCCCAACCTCCCAAGCTTTCTCTTTGTTTTAGGTGACTTCAGCCTCCTCACAGGAGAGCAGCTCTCCACTGCCGCCTGCTGACCTCAAGCCCTTGCCTCCTCCATCTTCTTTCTCTCTGGGACCACACACATGGGAATCACAAACACAAAAGACCCTAAGACTCAGCATGGGCTTTTTTTGTTTGTTTTGCCCTAGTTGGGACTGGGAAAAGAGATAACACCAGTCAGGTTTTATGGTTGCTACTGTTTTAAGTAACCTACTCTACCACAGTGGTTACTGGGAAAGGCTAGATGCTTCTCCCCTTCTGTTTGGAGCTCTGAACTTTCTTCATCCGTGTTATGGCCTGTTAAGTTTTTAGGATGGACCCAACTGGACGGAAGCAACAGCAGAGCCTGGCTCTGTAGCAGGGCCTTTGCCACCCCTAGCGAGGCCTGCTTGAGAATGTGCCCTGCTGAGAATCACCAGCAGCAGAGCAGGTGCAATGAATAAACATACAAGGCAGGAGACTAGCAGGGCTAGGAACTGCACAGCCACACTCTGAAACAGAAAAGTGTATTACCAGGTCCTTCAAGACTAAAAACAACCCAACACAGCTTGATCACTTCTTTTGAAATGCACAAATATAAATATATATATAACAAGAAATGTCCCAGTGTCATTACCAAAGTAGGAACTCAGACTTGGGCCTGGGACACCTTAGAACACTTTTGCTTTCTGACACCTTCAGCCAACATTGGTGGGAGCCACAATTGGTACAAGATTTCTGGAGGGAAATTTGGAAGAGTACCTCAGATGATCAGATATAAATCTATCTATTCAATATATAAATTCTATTTCTAGTAGTTCATCTAAGGCAAATGATCAGATGAATGTACTTTGTTTGTAAAAGTAACAAATTGGAACAAACTTAAACGTCCATGTGATGGCTCATCTTATATGTCAGCTTGCCCGGGCCAAAAGATGCTCAGATTAAATATTACTTCTTGATGTGTCTGTAAGGTTGCTTCCAGGGAAGATCAGCACTGGAATCAATGGACTCAGTAAGACAGATAGCCTTCCCCAGAGCAGGAGAGCATCATCCAAATCCCTTGAAGGCTTGAGTAGAACAAAAAGCAGAGAAAGGAAGAACACTTCTCCACCCCTTTTTAAAATCTGCCTCATTCACTGCCTGAGTGAGCTGAGCCATCTCATCTTCTGCCTTCAGACTGGGATTTATATCATCAGCACCACTGGTTCTCAGGGTGTTGAACTCTAGCTAAAGAAAAACTTCACTGGCCTTCCTGGGTCTCCAGCTTGCAGAGAACAGATGTTCACGGGAGACAGTTGTATATACATATGTTCTGTTTCTCTGAAAAACCCTGACTAATGCAATTCATAAATCTAAGATTGGTATAGCAAACTCAAATCTATGAGAATATTTATATATACACCAAAAGGATAGTGAATATTTTTATAGCTTCCTGTTTTCATAAATTTACCCAATGAGCAAATAATCAGGGAGGAAAAAGCAGTTTATATTTTGAAAACAAACAAAGTATCTCCTTCCCTAGTTTCATCCGACTGTTCCGAATAGCCAGGGTGTCTTATTTTACAGCAAACTTGCCTCAATGTCCAGGGGTTGAGAGTTTGTTTTAAAATAATTTTTTAACTGTTCTATTTTTTGTGAATGAACTCTCATGGCCAGTCTTATTTCACAAACTCATGTCCTCTACCACTCCCTGCACTGGATTATTTTGAAGTCAATCTGAGACATCATAGGATTTCATTCACAAATGTTTCAGTATGTCACCTGCAACATAAGATTCTTTCAGAAACCTAACAATACTACCATTCTCATACCTGACCATTTAACAGGATTGCTATAACACCATGAAATACCCAGTCAGTGATACGTTTCCCTGGGGCCATGTTTTACAACTGTGTTACCCCTGAGTAGGTTACCTAATCTCTTACACATTTACTTTCTTCATTTTAAAATGGAGAGGATATAGGATAATTGACTGTGAATGAGGTAATGTACTTGAAGAGCTTGGCTTAGGGGCTGCCACATGGTAAATGTCCCACCACCCCTCCCCCCGCCCCGGAGGCATCAGATCATTTGTGATGTTACACACATTTTCGTTCACTAGGCTTTTGTGTGAATTAACCCTTACTTTGTAAATGTCCTGTTCATGTTCTCTGGCCCTTTTTGTAGTGGGCAATAAGGATACCAACATTGTAGTATGCCCTTTCTACAGAGGAAGAAACTGGACACAGGTTTGTAAGTTGCCAGGAGGATGTAGCTAGCATACTCCATCGGCAAGTAGTGGAGTTGTGATTGGAGCCCAGGCACCCTGACACCAGGGCCAGCTCTCTGAAATCACTATGACTAAAGTCCCCTCTTGCGAGTACACAGTAAGGAGAGCCTGCTGGTCCCTACTTACCACTCTTGGACACGCTGCGGCAGTCTCAGAAGCCCAAGAGTTAGGAACACATTCGAAAATGACACTATTTTCACCTTCTCCACGGCCGAAAAAGAAGATGGATATCCTTGGCTTTAAGCTGGAAAGTCCCGAGAGGCTAATGTGTGCACCCCTGGGTGCCTGCCCACCTGTAAGGCTCCACTCTGGCCACCTGGGTAGGTTGCAGCAGCCTGAGGGGGGCTCTGTGAGCTTAGAGCCGGAGAGCAGTTCCTCAGCACCCACTAGAGGGCGCAATGGCCCCGTGGGCAGGCACCAAAGTTTTTGTTTGCTGAGCTTGGGCGTCAACGTGTTGTCCTGTGTCTCAAGAGAGGAAATGTTCTTCTCTTTCTCAAGGTTCCTCACCCAATGGGCTGCTTTCTTTTCCTCTTGATGTCATCCTTTTACACAGGCAGGAAATCTATGTTCACTTCTACTACCCTGTGGTCATTTTAAACCACAAACAAAGCTGATTGACCGGGAAGTCAGATAATTAAAAGAAGAGCCATAATAAATTCTTGATAAAGCCTTGTTAATCGAAGAAAGCAAAGTAGCCAAACTATCGTGATTGACGTGGGGACCAGTAGCTTGAGAGGCTGAGCTCTCCAGATTGCAGAGGAAAGGCATATGTTGGTTATTAAAACAAGTTGGCAAGCATTTTGAAAAACTGAGCTAGACTTGAGCAAAATAGAACATATAGAACAAAGCTTTTTCCATTCATGTGTGTATACTGAGTTGCCTACTAAACTATGTTTCTCATTGTACTTTGAGGCTGTAAATATATGAAAGCCTTGGCTGGGCTTGGTGGCTCATGCCTGTAACCCCAGCACTTTGGAAGACGGAGGCAGGCAGATCACTTGAGCTCAGAAGTTCAAGACCAGCCTGACCAACATGGTGAAACCCCGTCTCTACTAAAAATACAAAAATTACCCTGGCAAGGTGGTGCACGCCTGCAATCCCAGCTACTCGAGAGAGAGGAGGCAGGAGAAGCACCTGTGCCAGGGAGGCAAAGGTTGCAGGGTGCCAAGATCACGCCCCACTGTACTCCAGCCTGAGGAATAAAGCAGGAGTCTGTCTCAAAAAAAAAAAAAAGTAGTGGATGCCAGCCTTTCAGCTAAAACCCAGGGGCCTTAACTTCTGCTCTCCTGGCTGTGATCTGTGCTTGACCCACTCTGGGACAAGGAGAGAATGCCAGCGTGGCTCTGTGACCTGGACACACTGTGTCCTGCTGGAAAATCATCCCACCTCTGCCCAAGCCTCTCTCCTTATGCTATGTTTTCATTTTCCAGAAACATGCTAACTAGACTGGTGGCAGTGTTGGGGATTTGGGGGAGTAAGCCTTGATGACAATAAGAAAAGAGAAAGGGCTGGGTGCGGTGGCTCATGCCTATAATCCCAACACTTTGAGAGGCCAAGGTGGGTGGATCACCTAAGGTCAGGAGTTCAAGACCAGCCTGGGCAACACGGTGAAACCACGTCTCTACTAAAAATACAAAAAATTAGCTGGGCTTGGTGGCAGGCGCCTGTAATCCCAGCCACTCAGGAGGCTGAGGCAGGAGAATCGCTTGAACCCAGGAGGTGGGGGTTACAATGAGCTGAGATTGCACCATTTCACTCCAGCCTCAGTGACAAGCAAAACTCTATCTCAAAAAAAAAAAAATTCAGTGAAGAAATGTGGAGAAATGAGACCACTATCAGGGAGGATGAGGGGACCAAAACACTCATCAGAACAAAAAGCTTTGGTCTCCAGGCTCCCCCATGCCAAGGTGGGGGACGTCAATTAATCCACCACCATCTTGGTGGGTGTCAGACTGAGAAACAGTGCATACACTAAATGTAGGAAAAAATAGCTATTGCACATGACTCTTATGTTTCTCTATGCCTACAATCACAGTTTGAGTTTTGCCCAACTTTTCAGTGGACCACACCACAAAGGTAGTGAATTTAAGGGGAAAAATATTTGAATGTTGACAAGCTAACTGTCAGATGATTGTAGCAGAAATCCCTTTTCATTTTTTAAACTGAAAAAAAAAATTTTGTTATTTTGACAGGCGTAGTAAACAAACAAAATTGATTTGTGTTGCTCAAATGAGAATAACATTTATTTCACAAATTACTGATATTTTTAACACTTATAGTTCAATTGTTCACTGTAGAAAAACAGGAGAAAGGGCTATGCTATCCAAGCACAGGCTTCCATGTAGGGCTCAGCCCACCATGACATGGGGATGCCCCCAGCTCTCACCCACCATGACCATGAAGAAGCCCCCAGTTCTTACCCACCATGACCATGAAGACGCCTTCAGTTCTCACCCACCATGACAGGGGGATGCCCCCAGTTCTCACCCACCATGACCATGGGAATGTCCCTAGCTGTCACCCGCCATGACCATAAAGACACCCCCAGTTCTCACCCACCATGACCATGATGACGCCCCTAGCTCTCACCCACCATGACCGTGAAGATGCCCCTAGCTCTCACCCAACCATGACCATGAAGATGCCTCCAGCTCTCACCCACTATGACCATGGGGATGCTCCCAACTCTCATCCACCATGACCATGAAGACCACCTCCAGATCTCACCCACCATGTCCATGGAGATGCCCCCAGCTCTCACTCACCATGACCATGAAGACCACCCCCAGATCTCACCCACTATGTCCATGGAGATGCCCCCAGCTCTCACCCACCATGACCATGAAGATGCCCTCAGTTCTCACCCACCATGACATGGGGATGCCCCCAGCTCTCACCCACCATGACCATGAAGACAACCCCCAGATCTCACCCACCATGACCATGGAGATGCCCCCAGCTCTCACTCACCATGACCATGTTGATGCCCCCCAGCTCTCATCCCATCCTCCTCTTCTCTAAGCCTGAGCTCAACCAGGTGTCCAGAATGCCAACCCCAGCCTCATCCTGAAGCAGAAAATAGGTGTAGAAATGAGGCGATGTGGAGCGAAATAAGTCATCTTCCGACCATAGGTGTCAGTCCAGCAAGTCTTAGACAGTTCTGAGAGTACTCTTCTTTCTTCTTGAGCCTAGTTTTGGGCCTGAAAGCAGGAAAGATCTGTTTTCTCCCTTTCTGATGTGGTGGGAGATGGGGGCTGAGGAGGAAAACCTGGGAATGTGAAAATCTCCACCTCGCAGTCAGTTCATCTGGTGGTATATCCCTGAGGCTTCCATTTCTCCTGGGTTATCTTTGTAAGGTGGTTATGCAAGAGCATCACAGGTGAGCAGTAGCAACTATGAGAGTCCCCAGAGGAAAGGTGAATTTGGATGACAAGAGCCAGGGCTCTGAGGTCCTTCTCAAGTGGAAAGCCCATCTCCAGAAACAGCCTGGGAGATGAGAGTGGAATTGTATGAGGGAACAGCAGCGTTTCTCTCAAGTCCCTGAGCGTATGGGAGGGGACACCCACACAGAGTTCCCATCTCTCAGAATACTACTTCTTGGAGATGTGTGGCCTCTACCATTCAGACCCAGCAGCCACTGCGCCTAGAGCCAGGATCTTCCTCGGTAGCTCATTCCAGACTTCATCTGGAACAGCCTCTGTTCTTACAAGGAAACCAGGAAGGAATTTTCCACTCTACACCACCCCAGATCAATAGCCAAACAAGCATGTGTAGGAGGGAAGTCTGTAAATATGAAACAGGACCAAGTGCCAAGGAAAGGTCAACCAACCATGGCACGGCAGGAAGTGGTTTGTGTCACTGTGGGGTCCTGATGGGTGTGGGAGGTCCTGGGGGCTGAGGCTCCCTGAGCACCTTCCACATTTTGTCGGGCCAGCTCCTGACGGCCTCCCATTGTCTGCCAAGCACTTTCGCATGTGTATCTTCATCTCACTTGGTCCTCCAGGGAAAGACCACACCTTCCCAGGCCCTTTATTTAATGTGACTTGTTCTCTCCCAGGACTTTTCTCATGAGCCGACTCAGGGTATTTGAGGAGAGATATCAAAGGAAGTGGGTTTTGTGGCTGACTCGATCATTATAGGAAGGCGAATGGAAAGGTAACCCAGGGGCTCAGCACCTGTATTTTAGCTCTCTGGTGCTATCCCCTCTCTCAGCCCTGCCTCCGGGTCAGTCCCTGGGGATTCCCGGAGCAATCTCTAATTCCCTTAAGCCAGGGCCTTGGAAAGGAGTGATGAGGGTTTACAGCTAATTTTTGGTATTAAAAAACATTGTGAATCATTAAATTATAAATTGGCCTGTGGTGAGGGCAAACTGGCTCACTGGAAACTGACTTCACTTTGCTTGGACTAGAATTCTGGAGCCTACCCCCGAGGACTAGGGATAGGGCCCCATTGACCTCGTATTTGCACCAAGCCCATTTGGGAAATGGGAGTGAACTGAGGGTGGCTGTCAGCTTTTCTATAAGCTGCCTCATTGTCCCTTAGCCACGGAACCCTTAAACCTTCTTTTTTATGCAAATTTGGACTCCAGACCATTATCAGAGCTGTCACCTGCCAACTTGCCTACACCTCAGTGGTGACACCAGGCTGCTTTAATTATTTATATTCTTGCTGCATTGCATCCTGATTATTTCATTAGGAATTAGTAGAACTTTAAAAAATTTCTTTGCATCTTGATTTCTGTCTCCAACATGGAGTCATAATTCCTCATGGAGGATTTGCTAGTTTAATGAAGCAGGCCCTTTCTCCTGTTGCACCCAAGAGGAAAATGAGCGATGCTGATCTGTTCCGCACTCTGTCCCCTCAATCACCACTGTTCTCTTCTCTGAGCTGGTCTCTGGAGGCGGCCTGTAGTACTGGAGCAGGGCACGGGGCCTGTAGGGTGGCTGAGGGCATTCCCCTTCCTTCTGTGGAGTGCGTTTGAGACCAGGTCACAACAGGGAACCCCCCTGAGGGCGGTGGGCACCACCTCTGGCCATTTGACTAACCCCTGTGCAGTAAATGTAGACCGCAATGGGTGAGTGTCACTGGCTTGTGGTCTGGTGAGGATTTGGGAAATCCCCCCACTCCATTCCAATTCGAGGGCATCTCAACAGGCTGCCCCCTTCCTTCCCAGCCATTTCTCTCTGCAGGATGGAGGGAGCCAGAGGCAGCCACAGTGAGGGGGAGCGGGAGAGACGCTGGGATGTGTCCTCTCCGAAAGATAGGCCCGTGAACTTTAGAAAACAGATTCTCTAGCAATTAATTATTTGTAAGCAAGTGACCACACTCACAGGACATCATTCGAGGTTGTCAGCAAAACAGAAAGCCGACCCATGGGAAGAAAAGGTATTTTCTGGAAACCTCCGACTTACAGGAGACCAGCACTGTTGGTGAATACTTTAACAGCAATTTTGTAAGTCAAAAAGCTTCCCTCTTTTCAATATGCATCTCTAGTTTCTTTTTATTGAAAAGTATCAAAAATGTAAGAGTATTAATGAGTTACAGCAGCCGTTTTTAATGTTATTATTCTTAAAATGCATTTTAAGTATGTCCTACCTAAGAGCAATGGGGAGGCAATGGGGAGGCATAGCTTAATGGGTGCAGGATTTCAGCTGCAGAAGATGAAGCAACTCTGGAGTGGATGATGGTGATGGCCACACAACAGTGCGAATGTACCTAATGCCACTAAACTCTACACTTAAAAATTATTAAAATGGTACATTTTATGTTCATGTATTTTACCGAAATAAAAATTTTAAAAAGCAAATGTTAAAAAAAGAGGGTATCAATGTCAAGTCAGGGCCTCTGTAGGATGCTAAATGAATGTGTAATGTGAGGTCACCTTGGAACATAAATTCTTCCTGTGAATGAAGGCACAGCGCCTCCCAACCCACCTGCTCCCCACGCCATCCCAGGGCCACAGGCCTCCTGACACCCTCTCACTCCTGCTCCCATCCCCACCGGCTGCCTCTCAGGGCTGACTCCCTTCCAGCCCCCACTGACTGCTTACTAAGTCTCGGTGTTACCAACCACAGCTTCAGTGGATTGCGGTATGCCTAATTCCCTCAAGACAGGGTCTTGGAAAAGAGTGATGAGGGTTTACAGCTAATTGTTAGTATCAAAACTCTTTGTGAATCATTACCTTATAAATCGGCAGATAAAGCCTCTCAAGCATGGGCTTACTGGGAGGGTAACCAAGAGGTAGTCGTGGCCACACCTGTGGGTCCCCACTGGTCTGGGTGACTTTTAACTCTCTCTGGAAGCAAAGTGCTAAGGCTGTGATCACAGCTCTTTGTCTGCACTGGCAGAGTGAGAGACACAGACACAGCAAATGACACCTGAGCACAGGCCCTGCGGACACTGGACAGCCATGGACAAATACTGCTATCCTTGCCAACCCTCTCCTGGTGCTAGACTGCCCTCCTCCTGTCCCCTGACAGCGCAGGCTCCCATCTCAGACTCCATGGGTGCCTTATCATGGGCAAACTTTCGGGCATGTCCACTGCCATCTCTAAAACCCTCTGTGTCCCATTTCCAAGGGGCCCAAGTGCATACCCACCCAGGGCTTCATGAGTGCTCAAGTGTATCAATGAGCCCATAGGCTAACAAGGGCCTTCTGCAGAAGCCCTGTCTTTCCCAGAAGCAGCAGCTCTGATCAAAGCAAACAAATGATAACAAACACAACAGACTCTCTCACTAGTATGCACCTGCCAGCTTCAGAGCGGAGAGCCCCGATGAAATGCGTCCTCCTCCAGCTGGGAGCCACCACGCAATGATAAACCCCCTGTCAGTGCGTGGTGAACCTCGTGTCCTCCTCCCATTCGCTCACCTGCCATGCAGTTGCAAGGCGTGTGCTGCAGGAGCTGGACTGGAGGAGACGGTGGACACCTTCTGGGCGGCATGTGATATCTCACTGTTTTCCAAAACTTGGTCTTTGCACACTGTGACTGCTCTGTGAAGTCCCCATGCCACCGGATGGCCCCGTGCTTCTGTCTGATATACTGAATTGACTCCGGCATGGCTGTGTAGTCCTCGATTTTCTCTAGCTCAATGAGAATGACCTTCATCCCATCCTGGATGAGGGCACTGTAGACTGCAATTTGTTCTTCCGGCAGGTTCTTTAACAGGCCAAAGCCCAGCGATTCGGGGACCACAATCACCATTAGCCTCCTACACAACTTAACATTTTCATCGATGACATTGGCCACAGCTGGAAATAAAGAAAGAAGACTCAGAAGAGCTCACAATTAAAACAGTCCAGGGTCATAATGCTACTGAGAATATTAGAAACAGGCTCTGAGGGGAGAAAATGGACTTTTTTTTTTTTTGAGATGAAGTCTCACTCTTGTTGCCCAGGCTGTAGTGCAGTGGTACAATCTCAGCTCGCTGCAACCACCGCCTCCCAGGTTCAAGTGAGTCTCCTGCCTTTGCCTCCTGAGTAGCTGCGATTACAGGCATGCACCACCATGCCCAGCTAATTTTTTTTTTTTTTGCAACATTCAACATTTATTGAGTACTGGCCATACAACAGGACAGGAGTGGACATTGGTGGTACAGAAGTAAGCAACGCAGACTTAGTCCCTGTCTTCCTGGAGTTCACGGTCTAGTTCTATACATCTTTTTTATTTATTTATTTATTTTATTGCATTTTAGGTTTTGGGGTACATGTGAAGAACATGCAAGATTGTTGCATAGGTATA